GCTTGGCCTTTGGGCCGCTACCGGAGAGGCCGTGCCCGGTACCGTGCAGTTGTGCCTGGTGGTGCTGGGGGGCGGTGGGTTTGTTTGCTTGTTTGTTTTCTCTCATTTACCCCAAGCTCTGGTGCACTGGAGTTTGAGTTGCGCTCCTTGGCAACGCGGCGGCTTAGCAGGAAGTGTTTGGGATGCAACCGGTGCATTGGCAGCTCCGTTTGTTTGTGTTACTTTTCAGAGCTACGAACATCTTTAAATCAACCATAGATCAGTGTAGGAATCCTGCCTTGGTTTTGAGGGGGTTCTTAGCATTTAGTTTATTCCATATTTCAAATTCCATGGTGTATTTTCTCTGTTCCTGAACTGGAGAAAATAGACACTCTGTACTAGTTAATGCTTTTGAGCTCTGTAAGAGGGTTTACATGAATGCGTTCAAAGCTGAGCCACCACCTTCATTAAAATTAATCGTACAGACAAGTCTCTGTATGAGTAAGATCTTGATGAAATGCTCAGCCATGTGGTAATAACTCATTATAGGTGACATAGAGAATTTACTGAATTCTAATAAATTGTATCAACATTTGAGAACAACTTACTTCCTCCATAAGACACGAAAGAAATTAGTATTTAAGTTCTTCTCTAATCACTGCGGGTAAAGCTGTTGCTTAAGTGGACAAAATACATCCAGAAGATTTAATTAGCAAACTGATTGTTATTAAAAAAAATTGTTAGTGTCCTTTTTTTCTCCATAAGAGATTTATTAAAGTTGATACTCAAAAAGTGTGACTAGTACAAGGGTGTGTGGTTGTATCCAGTTATTTCACATGCATTAAGTATTTACAGAATGCTGTTAGTTCATCTCGAGATACAGTCACCACTGTTGTGAGTTGTTGGAGATTATTTATATAAAACATGTGCTCTGCTCTTAGCCTGGTTATTTTGAAAGAGCTATCAGCATGGAAGATGATGAGACCAGTTACACCACCGATGAAGAGCAGAAATAAATGCTGCCATTTCTGGAAGAGGAAGAAGAAGAAGACCAAGTTGGGCAGTTCTGTGATGTGAAAGAACACTGGGAAGGTGAAGGTGGTGAATTGCTTTGATAACTCACACCAGGCTCGCGCTGCTGCGTCTTTGCTGTAGTGGATGGGGACAGCACAGCTCTAGGCTTGAATGATACTCCCAGTGGATGCGGTGATGCCAGGGGTGTTCTCTAGCATTACACTGCAGCAGCTGTAACTAATCCAAATCTAATCCAGTCTTTCTGTAGGAGTAAATTCTCTACTTCTTATCTCTGTAGGTCATTTAGGTTCAGAGTTACTGGTGGTAAAAATCTAGCATTTGATTCAGTTCCATTGGCACTCGAAGTGCTCCAGACTCTCCTCTGGTTCTAGAATGGTGTAGGTCTTCCACAGACTTCAAGATATGAAGAGAGATACCCTAAGACATCTAAAGTGGCACCTTTAAATAGGCAGCTGATTTCCCTAACTGTGTCCAGAAGTAGGTTTCAGTATATTACAGGAGGTATTTCCTTGATGGCATAAATACTTAAGAAAAAGAGAGACTCCACATTTTGTCTTGACAGCAAGTATACTGCAACTTTGCATTTTGAAGCTCAAAATCTCTTTCTTTAATTACTCTTTTAATATCTATTAGGATACAAGCTTGAGGAAGCGCTGGCTGGTGGTGGCAAGATGGGACCCAAGGATGCTTCTGAAGGAGCTGGAAGCAGATCTGACTCTAGCATGTAAATAACTTGGTTTATTACCAGTTAGAACTAATTTCCCTTACAGTGTTAACTTGCCTTTTTGAGAGAAGATTTGGTTAATTCAGCTATGCATTTTTTTGTCAAATTAGTCATGGGCAATATAGACCTTTCCATAAAAAAGTAAATTAAACTGGTTAGTACTCTAAAATCAATGAGCGGAGTAAGATAAAGACAGACTCTGGATGCTTTTGAATCTGAGGCCTTTGTAGGCAGGTGCACATAGCGCGATGATTGCACTGCGTTCACGTGCGCTGCTTGGCTCCGCTCAAAGGAGCGTTGCACTGACCCGTTTACGCTCCTGAAGCCCAGCCAGCTCTTTGTAATCGTATGTGGTGGTGTGTTCATGTTCCCCCTTACTGGTAGAGCATTGGGAGCTGCTGGAAAGAGAAGTTTGGCTGCTGAAGAATATCAATGTTGGATTGTGGTTTTTTGTATATATATGGAGTTTTGTTCCATGATGTAAAGTCAGCGCAGAATTGGTATGATGAGAGATTAGTACAGTGTTGATTTTACACGTAGGTGGTACTGAGGATTTGCATCTCCATGTAACAGAGGTCACGCATAAAAAGAAATCTGGTGGCTTGAATGTGGCTTTAAGTGGCTGCTGCTCTGTCCACAAAGACCAAAATGCTGTTTGGCTTGTTTGCCACCCTGTTAATCTGTCCTGGTGTGACCTGCCACAGGCCTATGAGGCATGATGAAAAGCTCAAATGTTTATTAATGTATGAATGTGGCAAGTTGCATAGCACATACGGCTACTGCCATTAAATGTTACCACTGTCAACAGAGAAACTCAAAATACACCAAAAAGATTAAAAAATCCCCAAACCTCCAGACCTCTTCTTGCTATATGTTTAAGAACAACAAAATTATAAAATAAATTAGCTTACCCCACAAACTGATCAACTGAATGTAATACATTTTTAACTGGTTTAGGATGTTCCCTTTAAAGTTTTAAACTGTTCAGGAAAACCAGAATGGGCAAACCCTGGGTACAATCGGGAGGAGCTGCAGGCATTTCAAAACGCACAATTAATGCATTAAATCTGTATATAATTGTTCAACATTACATATCCAAGTCTAAAAATCTTGGCTGAAGTGCATGTATGTAAACTTCCTGCAGTAATTATTTTTCCTTATTTATACTGGTCATATCTGTAGCAGTTCTGCTAGAGTAAGAGTAAACCAAAACCAAACAATGCACAAATGCATAAGCATGGACAAACCTAATGTAATTTTTTAGTTTCTCTATGTTTTAGTTGTTAATTTTGTGTTTCAATTCCAAGGGAAAGCTTGGAACACTGTTTGGACGACATTAATAACATTCAGCCTATGAAGCGCACAGATAGAATTCGCATCTCAGCCTTGCAGAGGAGCCTAAGAGAGCTCAATGACATGGCCAAAAAGAAGGAACTTGTGGACCAAGAAGCCAGGTTTGTGTTTAAGTGAACATAATCATCAGCATAAATCGCCATCGGATACTGGGACACTGCGTCTGTTATAAATATTAGAGTTTAGAGAGCTTTCATTAAAAGTTAGGTGATGCAAACACTTGTTCAATGTAATGTATTCAATATATCCCCAAACCCTTGTAAAGAATTACGGATCAAGGATGAAAATTAATTATATACTTGAGAAAATGAAACACAATAACAAATGTTAAAGAAGAGATGTTTGGTCTGGGAGAATTAGATGCCAACTCCTTTCAGCAAAGTCTGCACAATTCAGCAGTCAGTTGGAAACATCAAATGGGAAATTAATGGTAAGTATTTTCTTTACCGTGATGGAAACGGCACATTCAGATTGGTGAGGTGACTCCCATGCTTTGAGATGCACCTGCTGTGAGTGCTCTGTTGTGTTAAGGTCACAAAGATGTTCTTTAGCAGAAAATGGGGCTGAAGAAGGCCAATGGGAAAAGATGCCATCTATGCTGTTGTCATAGTTGATATCTGAACTACAGGTGAAGTCAGAATTAACTCTCGTTATGTTTTTCTGGATTTTGGGGAGAAAATGTTTGAAATTAAGAAGGGCTGGAGAACCTCAGAGAAAGATCTTAAAATGGGCTGGTGGTGGGGAGCTGAAGGGATCCCAGCTGGGAATCTTGTCCCTGAAAGGAGGAGTTTCATGGGGAAGAGGAAAGAACTTACAAAATGGAAATAATCTGGTTGGTTTTTTCTTGCAGAGACAAGCTGCGTAGCTGTCGGCTGCGGATCAAGGTGCTAGCAAAGCAGCTGGAGTATGTAGACATGGAAACAGAGAAAGAGGAGGAGGCTGGCAATGTGTAGGTAGAGTACTACGGAATGCCAAAGATTGCAGACATCCACTGTGTTTATCTGTGGAATTCTTGAGAGAAACTTTCCTGGTTTCATCTCTTCATGTTTTTGCACAGCTGACAGAATTTTTAAGTGCATCTACTGAAGATGTTAATAGATCCATGATGAAACCCATTGCCATTCCAGTGCATTCACTCCCACGTTGGTGGACACTTTTATTGCAGTCACTGTCTGGTTGATGTATTTTCAGCAATAATTCCTCCTTTAGAAGTAAAGAATAATGGTGCATCAGTTTAGGAATCATTGATCTCTCTGCTGTCTGGCCTAGAGGTAATACTCTGTTAGGTAAATCAATGCAGAAAGAGGTGGGAATTTAGGAACGGATAGGGAAGTGGCATATACTTTAAAATACAACAACAAGAGGTAATTAAATCAGCCTGCCCCACTACTGTCAGTTAAGTTTTTAGAGTCTCAATCACTTCTCTGCAGTGTGATGAACCAACACCAATGTGCTGTGGCAGTTCTGGAGGTCATGGTTTTGCTTGTGGTAACTCAGTCTATGTATACATGACTTGGGTGTGTGTGTCTGCTTTATGTTGTGAAATGCATGAATGCCTTTCAGGAGTAGCTCTGCACACAGGAGCTGTTCTGAAACACTTTAGCAATAAAGTGGGAGGCAATTTACTGTACTCTTCACATTTGGTTTAAATAGAAAGAAGTGGGTGGCTTGTGTACCAGGGGCCAGTGTATTGTGAACAAACTTTGCAGCTGCATTTTATGAACTGTGCTAATCTTCCAGTTGGTATATTGAAATCTTCCAGTTGGTATATTGACGGATGATGCAACGATAGAGGTAGGTTAAATGCCAAAATGGAATAGCTGCTTCAACAGAAATGGGGAGTTGAGTGCTAATGAGGCTCCTGCGATGGGTGCTGGTGCTCCCTGGTTGGTAACAAAACAAGGACAGAAAAGCACTGTACGAGTTTTTATGCTTTTGATGGGTCCAATTGTGAGGCCTAGATGTACAGAAAAATAGCAATCCTCACAGTCTATTCTATTGAGCAAGTCAATAGTGGAGTAAGAAGACTTGATAGCTATCTGGCTGATAAAGCTTGAAGGCATCATGTTTTAGCAGTAATGTAAATCCTGGCTACTCTTAGCATTACTGATGGCCAGTACAAACATTTTGAAGTTCAAGTAGTAAGTGCAGGTAGAAGATCCATTTCCAGTTTTCATTTCAAGGAAAGGAGTTCATGCTGAATGTAGTCAGTCACTGTTGATTCTGTAGTGCACTGACTGCTGGTTTTCCTGGGTAGAGAAGACTGAGGAAAATAAACATTGTAGGGAACGTACATGGAATATTTGTAGGGCCATTTTAAATGCAAAATCAGTCTCGGTTCTCTAGGTTCACCTAAACTTAATAAGACTTCTTTTATTAGCTTGAGAAATGAGTAACATTGAGCTACTGGTCAGTGCTTCTGAAATAAATACTCCTCTGCAAACTTTAACCAGTGTGTGGTAGTTTAAAGAAAGCTGTGCCTTTGAATGAAGAATGGACACTCAGAAGGCTAAATAAGACTTTGTAAATTAGTGGAATTCTAATACATAAATCTCAGCTTCAAAGTCATTTTTAATGGCTGCTGTTCTTGTTGGGGGGAATTTTTGTGACCTTTATTAGTTCCAGTTTCTTTCTGATTGTTTCTCTTTAACGTTAACAGCGCAGCCTTGTCCCGCCTTCAGGCAATGCACAGACGACTGCGTGCTGAGCTGCAGCAAGAGCAGGATTTGGAGTTGAAAATTGCTTTGACACTAAAAGAAAACACGTAAGTGAGGTGATGGGAGTTGATCTTTATGTTCTTCATGTGCTGTTTGACCCTACCCTTCAGTAAGTGCAAGAGTGTAAATACTGCTGTGAAAGCAGCTCACACTTTGTTTTAAAGGCTTGAGATGTGGCAGATAGAAACCGCACAGGGAAAATACGAAGTCTTCCATGAACAATTTAAAAAAGTTGAGGAGGAGCTAGAGATGCAATACCAAGAACGAGCAAAGTTGCGGATTTGGAAGGAAAAGATAGCAGCGCTGCGAGCAGAAAAAAACCAGCGGTCTAGAGAAAAGTAAGTGCCTACAAATCAGACACTGCTTCCTTTCTCTGTGTTATTTTTAGCCAATGTAGTGTTGCAGGTGTTGAGAAAATGAGCTAATGCAAATACTGCTGGTATTGTGTTTCTTAGCTGGGTGTTGCTTCAGGAGTATTTTATGAGGAAATGGCATTAAAGTAAGAATTGGCCGCAGTCTTGCAGTTACACAGGTAAAGATTTCTGATCTATGAAAATAAACGGTTAAAGACAGTATTAGTGAGTGTTTTTTGTCTAAGGAAGTGAAGTTTTTTAGGTCAGGTTAGCTGCACGTGTCCACGTTGTTGCTGGCCACCAGGACCTTCTGAATTTAGATCAAGTTCCTCAGGATTTCTTGGGGAGATGGACTGATGTCCTCATTTCAGCGCACATTCATGAACTCCCCGCTCACACCCTTGGATGTCATCGTGTTGGACTCGAGGTTTCCTCAGTCCTGCTGCAACTGTTGGTTTGCTTGTGTTTTGTAGAAGAGAAGAGAAAGCTCAGAAAGAATGTGAAGAAAGGCAGAAAAAAGTGCGTGAAGATGCCAAAAGGAACCATGAAAAAGCCGTCTGCTTCCTGAGGAAAAGCATGGCCAGGTTATTCTCCTGTCATTTTGCATTCTCTGGTGTGCAATACTTTGGTCTTTGAAAAATATAGATTTTTCTGCTAGCTGTGTCTTCTGTTACACTTGGAAATCTCCTGCCATCGTACCAGTGCTGTGAAGCATTCAAATTTTCGATGGCACAAAAGGACTTGGAAAGGAGAACTCCACTTTCTGTCCATACTTAACATGGTCTCCACAGTCCCTGTAGCTGAAGGGACTCTCTTTGATGAGATGCAGAGGGGTCTGACTACTTGTAGGCATGAATAATGACTGGAAACACTTTATATGTGTGTTATTAACTGTAGTCTGAAGTGCAACTGAATTCCAGGTTTGAAACTTGCACTCTGCTGTTCTGTGTCCCTCTGAAATGTGGTAAAAAAGCTCTCGTGCTGTCTGGTAAAAGTGGTTGATGGGCCACTCTGAGCTTCTGTTCTCTGGTTGATGGGAAATTAAATGTTCTCTTCATAGGTTTATGTTTATATCATTACTGTGGTGTTGAATAATTTTGCTACTAAAGAAACTGTGAATATTTGTTACTTTACTTGTATCTTAGGACTCATTTGAAAAAATGATTGAAATAATTGCACTGTTTCTGTGTTGGTTCACTCTTCATTAGATGGAATGTGCAAACTTGTCATCATTAAGACAAAAACCCAACCAAATAGATTTTTATTTTCCTGAGTAACGTATCAAATATATCAGTCTTACTGACTTTATTTCTAGTTTACCATTTTATTAGCTGGAATAACCTCAGACTTGATTTATGCCCACATATTTCTAGCTTTGTTTTTGAGGTTTATTTTTAACGTGGCTACAAGTGATGGGCTGCTATAAAGTTCACTCCATCATTGTTTAGGTATTGGTTATATGAGCAATACCTGAATTCATGTTAGCAACTAGACATATGTCATAATATGGAACACGTTCTTCATACCCAAAATTTAAAACAAGTTGTTGAGCAAACCAGTTGAAAGCCTGTTGGCACTCGGAGCTTGAGCGGTGCTGCATGTAGAGGAGTCTCCCAACTGTTCGGCTTTACCTGCACCCGTATCGCAGTAAACACAGAGCCGTACAGGAGGAATGTCTGGTGACGCTGACAATTACTACTTGTCAGGTTCAACATTCTAATACTTAAAGCTTTCCAGGATATCAGCCTGAAAGATTTCACTTTGCTTACAGAATTCATGAAAAAAATGCAATGGAGGAAGCAAAAACTCAGGAGCATATGGAGAGAAGGATCCAAGCTGTGCTTTCCCTGAAAACCAGCATCGCTTCCAATCGGGTACTGCTGCCGCGGCGTAGCTGGGGAGTGACGACATGGGCCTGTGAGGCTGCTGGCTCTTAATGAACTCAACTTCAGCTTTCACTGTGGAATTGTTGTGCGATGCCGTCAGATCACCGACCAAATTTCTCTTGAAACTGGGGAGAATTTCACTATAGGAATGATGGTGTTCAATGTCTATGGGCAAACTTTGACAATACTACTTATGGGGTTTATTGCGTCAGCAGTCCAGTTGTTCTAGTAGGGTAACTCCCTTGAAAATAATGCGTACTACAAATAACTTCCCCGAGAACTCATCCAGAAGTATTTGCACTTATTTGGATCCCAGTGCAGAAATACTTCATATGGTGAAAACATACGGAAGAAAAACAGCTACTTAAGAATTTAAATAATGTAAACTAAGAATTTCTGAGCTGTGCTACTTTGCTCTTCTACTTATGTTCTATAGAAGCTGAAGGAATTATCTCAATACTGATTTGATTAGAACTGCATCTTTTGCCAGGGCAGGCCAGAAGGGTAAAGTAGCCCTGGCCTAGTCAGTACTTTCAACATCTCTGCGCACTATGGCTACTGTGTATATTAAAACCAAGAAGTTCTACTTCAGAGAAACCTACCACAAATTTATACTTGGATAAGGGGGCCGACACTTGATTCTCTTATTTATTATTCTTTAACATGTGAATCAGATATGTAACTGTGGCTTGTGTGGTTTCGTAGGAAAAACTCCAAACTCTCCAGGTTCAGAACAAAGCAATGGCCTTTGAGGCCAAGAAGCAGGAGATGAAGATGAGGGAAGCCATCTTGGCAGAAGGAGGCAATGTTGACAAGGAAATTATTCTCCGTAAACGACTGCTAGAGCATGAGAAAGAGAAACAGTAAGTACTCCTATCTGTATCAAATTCCCAGCTGCTTACTGATGCTCATGCAGGAATATATTGGAGCTCTTAATCACATCCTGAAAACTTAACGTCTATGATGCTCTCCCAAGGGAGTGAGCTCATTCTGGGACTCTGTGTGTGGTATCTGTGTGGTCTGTTTGAAGAGACTTGAACTTTTAGCTTGGGTACTATTCAGAGGACCGGAGTTAGGAGCCCATGGTCTATGATTACTGCCAAGAAGATACAGCTACTCCAGGAGGGAAATTCAGTGAACCCAAACTGGATGCCTGAAGTAGCTGTACTGCTGCATTTCCCTATGAAAACTGAGTAGCTTCCTTAGGCTTTTAGAGATGGTCTCTGGCAGATTGCACTGCAGTAAGGTCAGGAGCAAGGTACTCTCCTTCCAGCTTTTTTTTATTGAAATGACTCCTCTGCCTTTGTAGCCAAGTCAGTAGGAATGTGCCTGTATCTCATCTGGTCCAGTGCAAAGCTTCATGGTTGTTTTAACCACTTAGGAAGATGAATTTGAGCAAAGATACCAAACAAATTCATATGTTTCAAGTTCAGTACTTACCTTTAACCATTCTACCCCCTTTATTAAATCCACTGGATTTCAGATAGGCAGTTTTCTTTAAACTGCTAACAAAGTTGGGGAAATGATTTAAAAACGACGACTGTATTCTTTATCAACTCCTCAACTTGTGAAGTACTGTAATTGAGTATATTTAGTCTGCAAAAAATGTATAAATAGCTTCAGAATCGCCAGGTGTCTTGACACAAGTTACCACTGCACCCAATTTAAAGACTTGCTCTTTAGCTTACAAGCTCAAAAGAAACTGGACTGTAGTTAATGTTATTATTAAACAACCACAGTTGGTTTAATGTTTCTTACAACATTGGATTACAGAGCTTTTAAAGAACGGCAAAAAACAAGAAAAATCGAGATTGTATCTAAAATTTTGCAAGAAAGAGCTTCTATTCACAAGCAGAAAACAAGTCAGTCGTGTACTGAGGCAATTAAGGGTGTTGGTAAACATAAGGATTCTTCACTGTGGAGAATGAAGACATGGCAATATATTGAGAAGACCTGCAAACAGTCAGCAGGAGCAATACCCCAGGTAAACAAAGGCTGAAGAATTAACTCTCTTTACATTTGTTTTTAGTCAGAGGTGCAGGTCTGTGGATTCTTTTTCCTTCATAGGCTACAACCAAATACTGGGCAGTCCAGGACAAGTGGAGAGTCATTTCTCCATTAGATCTCTTAAGGACTTCTGGTCTCCCTTTGCTTGGTTGCTGATGCTTGTTTGAATAAAGACACTGTCCTGTTTGCGGGGTTTGTTGTGGGTTGTTTTAAGGGCGTTTGTAAGAAGAAATGAATTTTCAGACACATGAATTGTAATAGCATCAAAAGCCATGCAAAGTGCCCTCAGTTCCTGGTCAATGACCTTCAGGATTCAGTTCAGTTTTTCAGCACCAGAGAATGTTCCCACGGTGTTAGAAGGGAAACTGTGGCTCCTTCTGGACATAAGCCACCTGGATGGGCATTTTTTTTTGTAATCTGCTCAGTATTCCAAGGCGTACTGGCCTGGAGAAGGGAGGTGAAGTGAATTGAATTCCCTGATGAAACCGGTTGCTTCATGCAGACTTTAGGTATTTAAAAGAAAAGGGGTGGAGGAAAGGTGTTGGTAGAAATAGTCGTACCACCACAAAACAACAAAGTCCTTGGTTATCATGTGGTATGATAAGTATCCGTACTCTCATGCCTGAGAACAAGTTTCTACTCTCCTACAGCATACAGTTAACATCATATAGATGCTTTTAACATAAGATTTTGTCTGCATTCAGTGTTTTAAGAAGGGATTGACCTTCGTTGTCATCTTTGGCCTCTGAGCTTTATAGACCTGTTATTTTTATATTAATCTCCTCAGAAACTGTTAACTGTTGAAGTAACTTTCCTCTAGTAATTTTTAAATACATCTTCAAAACCTGTGTTCTTTCGCAGAAGCCATGGTGCTCTCCGTCACCTTCTTCTGGTGAGAGATCTGCTTCTGTAGGAGAGATTGCAGGAAAAATACCCCATGAAGTGCTCTCTGAAAGTGGTGAAGATGTGGAAGAGGGGGACAAGACCCTGGTAGAACCAGAGTTCCCGGGGCTTTGGAGTCGGGAATGGGACTTGCACAAGGTAAATGCTGTGATATCCCTTATTAGAAATAGGAGAGAAAAAGAAAGAAAAGTGGAGCAAACCCTTTTGTAACTGACTCACTATGAATTTAGTCTTCACCAAATTTTGGTGATGGCCATAGAAATACATTGATAGATTGGAGAAGCTTCATTTGCCTCTCTAGTAGCTGTAGATTTCTGATGTAATGACACTGCCAAGTGCTGCTTTAAGAATCTTGCTTAAAAAGAAGAACTCTCTGTTTCACAGTTTAAATGCAGACTTTACATTATTACACAGATGCAGACATTCGGATGTGAGAATATCATCAGAGCAGTTGCGTTTGGCACTGGTCTTGTAGTGTCTGTTCTCTTAAAGAGAAAATAATTCTTCAGTTTTAGTTCAGGGATACGTGAAGACAAACATCACATCCTGCTCACTTGTTTAATAAAAACCAAACATGACTTTCTGCTGAGCTGGCAACACAGATTGCTTTATGTGGAAACAACTTTCTTGTACCGTACTACACAAAGGAAAGCAAATCTTCTAGCATCGTAACAGATCTCTACACTCTAAACAGAAGTAAATCGTGCTCTTATAGAGTGGAATTGTGTAGTTAAGATCTGAAATGTTATTCCAAGGTTTACTTGCATGTGCTGTTTTTTATGAGATGTAGAAGATGTTTAAGAGCAGACTTTGTAATCAACCAAGGAGAAATCATGTCAGTACATGTTCATATCCTTGCATGAAAGAAGCGCAGAGCCATTTCCTAACTAAAATGTTGCTGTGAAGTTAGCTGGTTCTTGGTTTTTTTCTGAATGAGGATTTGTTGGGGGAACCCTTTAAGTGCAGAAGAGCTAATACTACCATGAAAAACACTGTCATAGTGTTGGATGATGATGAGCTACAGAACAGACAGCTGAGAAGAAATTAAATTACTAAATCAAATCTAGAAGTTGGGAGGCTGAGTTTGATCAGGAGAGAAACAAAGGCTGCCAGATACTAAAAGATGCCCTTTGCAGGCTTTTCTGCTTTGAGCTACAGATGTTGTGATCACACTTCCTTACAGTCATGGTGTATTTTATGGATGTTCCTCATCAGATATCCAAAGAAGAAATGGATCCAAAGCAGCTGGCTACGAGGGCAGTGAGAAAAGAAATGTTTGAGAAAAAAATGGAGGAACTCCAAAGTGGGATTTTTCACAAGCGAACAGCATCTGGTCGTGAACATAAGGGATGCAGTTTCTATAGTAAACCAAGTTGCATTCACTTCAAGGTTAGTTGTCCCATCCCGGAAGCCCGAGTTCCTGGTGTTAAGGGCTGTTTTGAAAGGGTTCTCGGAGCAAGGCAACGCTTGATGGGTTTATACAATACCTTGCACACAGGCTGTGATCCCAGTAGGGGCTGTGAGCACAACTGTGGTAAAAGTGGTTGGTTTTGTCATTACATGTGTAAATGCTGCTTCCTGTAACCCACACCACCTGCTCTGTTTGGTGTTCCAAGGATTTTGATGTTGGTCAAATCTACAAAAAGAAGATAGTTTTGATAAATGCATCCTACAGTGCTAACTTCTGCAGACTGCTGGGAATCAGTGAATGGCTCAAGGACTTCATCAGTGTTCAGTAAGTAAACTGCAGACCACTTGCTTGTTTTACCTTTGTACCACAACAGGAGATGTAACCAAACTCTGTAGCAAATGAAATAGTTTTCAGTAAATAGATCTAGAGGGTTCTATTCCATTCTTGTGTGATAAGGAATGGAGCTGTGTCTGGGAGCTGAGGAGCAAGAGGCTCACTGAGCCTGAGCTGCACGCTGTTGGTCTCTGTAGTGGTGACAGCAAGGGACCGGTCTCTAATCTGTGGGAAGCAAAACAGACCTGTGGTAAATGCCAGTAGAGCTTTTTTTTTCCTTTCCAAATGTCAGACCCTTTTAGAAAGGAGAAAAGGATCTTTTTGAAGGTACAAAGAGATGAAAGAGGACCCAAGCTTCTTTCTAGGCCACCAAGAGCCGTTAAGCCTACACAAACCTCTCTCACCAGCTGCCATCCTTTGTGGCATGATTCACGCTAATTTCCAGATTACTGCTGAAGTTGAAATGTGAGGAAGCAGATGAAATCAAGGAATCCAGAGCAAAGAGTGCTTAAATTGAAACCCTGTGGTCTTTCCCATCAATCCGTTCCTATGATCCTGATGACTGACAGGTTGTGTAAAGAAGTGCTCTGTCCAGTTGGGAGAGATTGCAAATGTGAAACTCCTGAATTCTGAAACGCGTTTCCCTTTTCTGGTTGAAAATGTTTAATCTTGCTTTTGTTTGGTTTTAATTTTGATGAAGTTGTCATTAGCCATGTATGTTCTGTGTTTCCGCATGGCCCCGTTTGCTGAGGTATTCCCGTGGCTGACAGCTTTGAGTTACCCGTTTTGTCAAGTTCCCTTTCTGTTTGTCAGGCAGAAGAGGCCTCCAGTAGCGCCTCAATTTCATTTAGAGTGCAGCTGTGAGATTTCTTGTCTTCTGATGGGCATATTGCTTGCATCAGAGACCATGAAATGAGGCATTGAAATGACTGCCAGTTTCTATTCAAGATAATTCTGATACAGTTTGCAGTAAAAGCAGCACATTCTCTAATCATTTGCAGCGACCTTCTTTATATTTCCTCTTCTTTTCCTGTTGGGACAGGTGAGATGTTACAGATGGACAATGGGAGAAGGCTGCTTCCTCTTACAATAGGCGATGGGCCCACCATATTTTTCATAATGTTATTGAGCCTCAGCTTCACCCATTTGGCTGCAGTCTCTTTGTCTATAGCATGAAGGCAATAATTCTTGCCTTTTAAAAGCACTTCAAGACTTTCTAATTAAAACCTCAAGAAGAAATCAGCCTTTGTTGTTGTACAATTGCAGCAGGGTTCTGTAGCTTTTCATTAATCTGTCACTCATTCTGACTTTTCTAAGTAATCCAAGTGGGGAAAAACAAATAAAGTAAAGAAATAAATCTGCTGTTGTTACCAGAATGGGATCTGGATGTTTCCTACATAGCTTTAATTCGGAGTTTTATGTTCGTTATCTCCATAGTTTTGACCCACCTGGCAAAATGCCTTCTGGAATGTCCTGTGAAGTGCTGGTAACATTTAAGCCAATGGTAAGTGCACCTGAGTGCTAAATTACACAGTGGTGAGGATCCTGGTATAATCCAGGTGTGTTCTAGGGGCACGTTTTAGAAAAATGCCTCGGTATTCTTGGAGTGTGTTTTGAAACTTGCTCCAAACAAAAGGATTTATAATATCGCCCAGCTAAAGTTAGCCGGGCAGTTACCAAAGGCTGTTTTAGAGGAGAAATGTACAATCTGCAGAGATAAGTTTTAATAAGTTACTCAAAGAAAGAGTGGGAATACTTTTCATCAGACTACGTAGGCTAAATCTTTGTAAATTAATTTAGGGTTTTTCTTTTGTTCTTTAGATAAATGAAACTCTGGAAGGAGAAGTCATGTTTATGGCACAGACGGGTCCTTTCTCTGTTCCATTGAAATGTACAGTCAAGAGATGCCTTGTAAGTGACTTTTTAAAAGTGTGTTAAGAGTCACTGTAACAGTAGGAATAGAAAGTGTGAGATAGCAGAAACGCGATTGAAAATGTTTAGCAAGAGTTATTTATCTTTATTTCTTTTTTCCTTTTAAATGGAGAGTCTCTTTCCAGAAAATGCTGCTTTCTCCGGACTGAAATGGAAATGGCTCAGTTTAACAAGATATTGTTTTAATGAGTTGGCTTCTACAAAAAGGCAGAAGGATGATACCCACAGTTCACGGTGTTATTTGATACTGTCTTTGAAATGATAATAAGAACTTTAAAGTCTTGTTCTTGAAAAGGTGGATGCCCGTTCAGTTGACATTAGTGACTATCTAGGACAGTAGTAATTAATGGTTTATCTTCCCCCAGCTGGCACTGGATAAAGAGCTCATTGACTTTGGCAGCCATGTGGTGGGAGAGACAATTTCACGGACCATCAGCCTGACGAACAGCGGAGCTTTGGGGACAAGATTCAGAGTTCAGACATCAGCAGGTGACAGCAGAACAAGCAGAGCAACGACAAAATCTCCTCCTGGAGGAATGGTGGGTTCAAAAGCAGTTCCCTAAATCAACAGAAAGGTTCTGCTTTGCAAAGTGTGGTAGGACCCTACAGAATCATGGAACGGCTCAGGTTGGAAGGGACTTTGGGAGATCATGGGAGTGGAGCAGAGACTGTTGAAGAAATGTACCAAAACTCAGACACTTGGTGCAGAGCTGACAAAATGTGTGGTGTTAGACCTGCTACGCATGCCAGTTAACAAAGTTGACAGAAAGCTGAGGAATCCCAGGAGCTGTACTCCTCTGTGTAGCAGATAATTTTAAGTGAAAAACACTTACAAAGAAAGCATGTGTACAGTTCGTCTTTGCATGTTAGTGCTGTGTGGCAGATTTTTGAGAAGACTGAACAGCTTAAGTCTGAAGATGTGCTTGCTCCTTCTCTAAATATGTTTTGGATTCTGTTCTTTAAGTGAGGAAATCTTCAGATCGAAAAAGAAAAAAACCACAACTAGCCAAACAAAACACCCAAACAAAACCACCCACTGTGGTTAGATTTGACATAAACCTGCCGGTGTTTCCACTAAACAAAACGTTAGTTCTGTTGATTGTAAAATAACTAGCACTGTATTGTATTATATTCTTATATATATTACAGCCCATGATATTATTCACCTGTTTTGCCAGCCAGCAAAAGTTAGATCTGCTCATTGATAAAGGTCGAGTAGAATGTGCAGCTTTTAGAAATTGCAACACATTTCACCACTTCTAACGTGGAACAGTTGCAAGAGAACACAAGTCTGACTTGCAACTGCTTGATTAGAATTGGAGCTGGTGCAAGCTAGGTGAACTGTCACAGTGACTATGTTTTGTCTGTTTTCTGATAGGTGACTCAACATTTCAGTGACTTTGGCCCTGAGCAGAACGTCAGCGATAGCTCTGGGACATCTGTAGCTGAAAAGGGGGAACAAATCTGTGTGGACCACGGTGAGGAAGTGGCCTCCTGTGCGGCCCCAGTGGAGCAGCAGAGTGAGACCAGGCTGAGCAGCGGATCCACAGGTGAGCTGCCTGGAAAACTGGGAGTTTTAGAAGATGGGCAGTGCAGTTTCCCAGGCTAAGCGTTACCATCCCATCTGGGGAGTTTCCTGTGCAATTCAGTTTGCAGTGTTACTCAGTAAATCAAGTAGTTCATCCTTCTGGTAGTAATGTTGTATTTGTTTGTATGCTGCCTTAAAAAAATGACTAAAAATAATGTACTGACACCATTATATCAAAAGCAGCAGAGAATCTCACTTCTCATTAGCGATCAACAATTTGGTCTTGGAAGAATACAGAGACCAAGTAGCTTACAGAAACAGCAGGGTTGTTACCATCATTCTTGTCTCAGCAACTGAATACCCACTTCTCAGAATAGAAATGCACATGACAGGTTTATTTTTATAGCCTGTAATTCTAGGAACAAGGAAGCAGAAAGATGAACCTCCTCGGACATTTTCCATCTCATTCCTGATGTTTACTATGTGCTTAATAAAATCCAGTCTTGTAGAAAAAAGGACTTTCTTAATTTCTTTATCATCTGTGTTCTTTGATTTAATTTCTTCGGGATATTGATTGTTCCAATCTTTAAATATTCCACTATTTCTATTTCCCCATCGTTGGTCTATGTTATTTGATTTGCAATATTGACCAAAATCAATGTACTTCTGCTTGCTTTGATATTTTTTAGCGAATAGATGCACACATCCAGCATTTTGTGGCATTTGTGTGTTGTTTTTTCCAGAACAACTTGGTCAAGAAGTATCAGATTCTGGATCACATCTAGGCACAGACGATGTCTGTAATTCAGTGGAACTTCCTCCTGAAGAAACACCAGCTGAAATTATGCTTGGAAAGGTGATGAATATCCTGAGACACAGACAAGGTTTTCACTACGCCTGCATCAAGTGAACTGCTGTTGCTCCAGTGGGAAATGCTTAAGTACCTGACTGACTTCAAGCCCACTGGATTTCACTGTCTCAGTTAATTCTTCAAGTAAAATCAAATTATATATTTGCCCTTTCCTTTGATCTATAAAGACTTATGTGAGCTGAAAGATTCTGTATATATTTACATTTCTCATCATTTAACTTTTTTTTGGTCAAACTGATTTTTCTGCTGTTGTCCCACGGTTCTATGAAGTCCAGTGACAACACAAGAGATGGGGCAGGAAGAATGACTGGGAAATGTCAAATTTGAGCCATTAAACCTCCTAGGGAGCTACTGATACTGATTTTTTTTTTCCCTTGCACAGTGTATTCAGTTTAGTTACAAACTAGGTGTAATACAGTGTTTGTATAGTATGAGTATATACTGCTTTATTTCAATATAATTTATAGCCATATATAACTATAGTAAATAGTAATACAGCTAGACTTTCATTTAAAATCATGTTATTTCTTGTTTAGGTTACTGAAGGTGAAATCGGACCCTTCAGCTCAGTCAAACTTCAGGTTCTGTTTGTCCCAGCTGTCCCTGGGGATGTGCAGGCAGAGTTTGTGATCATGTTTGACAACTCAGACTGCAAACCAGTAAGTGATTTTGTGCAAGACGTGCTACAAAACACTGCAGAAAAAAATAGTTTTAAAAGCTCCTACTTCTGCTTTTCCCAGGAATTAAAAGAGCTCAGAATCCTGTATTAAAAACCGCAGAAGGTGGTAGAAGACAGATATGTTCATTAACATGATAATATTCCCATTTTATCAGACATCGTACTAGAAAACATCTCATATCCTGGGACAAATATGAAAGTATTCCCAATCCACCTAGTTTATTTTCTTCCTGATATAGCAGAATTGGAATTATTTAGCATGCAGCAGTGAAACTGATGTGTGAAAGCTGGAAGAGATGACAACTTCAGTTTCCACTTCTGCATATTTTGATTCTGCACTTCACTGGAAGCCAAATTCTGCCTGGGAACTGCTCACGGAAGCTTGCCAAAAGAATAAAGAAAGACTTCCAAGCAGCTCTGTAGGCCACTCTTGGCTCTCTGTGGGCTCCAGATGGAGTGGGCTCCAAAAGCAGCCGCAGGTGCACACAGCGCTCCTAGGGGTGCGCTCTTTGAGGATCATTTTATCCAGGGCTCAGCTCTGTGGTCACTGACGTCAGACCTCGGGGCGCTGTAGGAAGCACAGCACTGTGCTCCATTCCTGGGTTTCTTTGCTGGCCAAACAAACTGCAGTCTCTTGGGTTTCTGAATTAGAGCGTGTTCACTTAAGCTGTCGTGGGCAGCATGCTGTTCCTTCATGTGCTTTGTCAGAGAATCCAAACCGAAGTCTAATTCTTTTCTGCTGGGATACTATAACATCTAGGCTTTACTTTGAAAATTATTTTAATAGCTTTGTCTAATTAAAGAACCTGTTGCAATATGAATAATAAAATACTTCACTCAGCTGTAGTTTATAGCAGAAATTCCTGCTCTGTCTAGATCAGTAAGAATCTGAGAGTAACAAAAACAATTACGTTCTTGATTTGTGTATTAACAGCTGTACTTCAGTGCTGTTGGAGTTTCTATTGATGTGCCGGTTTGGGTGCCCAATCCCAACATTGATTTGAAGATCTGTATGTATGACCGACTTTATCAGGATTGTGTTGTCATTCAAAGCAGGTGAGCTGCCCTTTGTTATCAGCTGCCTCTCATAGCTAAATAACGAGATTTGAAGTCACCAGTTCCTAGGTTCTGTTTTGCCAGACCCACCATCGTGGGAAGCTGAAGAACAGTTTGGTTTTTCTCTTGACATCCTGATTACGAGTCCTCTGAGCTCCGCTGCTGTGCAAACTGGACTTGGGTGTCCTCCTGCCCCAGACTCCCAAGAGCAGCCATAGCTATGAAGTGTCTGGGTTAATATGTGCCTGTCCACTCCTGCAAGACTGCCCATGTTGTGTCTGTCCTGTGGTATAACTGTAAAGTCCCTAGGGAATATCGAGTCCAGAGAGTTTAATCATGTGGAATTTGAATGCTTACCATTAGAGAGATGAATGTGTCTAAAATTGAGTGCATGTTGGTTTAACTGATTCAGCCAGGCAATGTTATGAAAGAATATGTTGTTATTTCTCAGTTCTTTTACCTTTAATTAAACTCCACAGGAGAGTTATGATCTGGAAGCCAGCCTCATGCCAACTGTTCTTTACAGAGCAGGTCAATCACCAGTCTTTCCAGACTTGGAATATGGTGCTGGATAAATCATGTCGGTCACTTTGCATTTACTATAAAATGGGAAGCGTACAACTTCTAAGCCATGTAAGCATGAAGCACTGTGCTGGAGTGACAGATAGTGACCAAATACTGATTTACACGGGGAAAACAATATCTGAGTGTTTCTGTAGTCCAAGTCAGAAACGTTTGAAGACCATTTCTGTTTGCACTGTAATGTAAAAATAGCATTTCAGCTCATTGGCTCCAGAGATTTCATGCTATTTGAGTGCCTACATGAACTTCTCCTCCTAATTGTGTTCAGGTGCTGGGTGTCTTCCCTCTACCTCATGCAGTCACTATTGAATGCTTCTTTTACCAATTTGCATTTCTTAGATTCTATTTAAATGTGATTGGGGTGGGTTTGTGGGAGGCTGGAGGAGGGATTGGTTCTGTAGAAGGCATCCATTCTAAACCTCTTACCAGAATTACAGACTGCAGAGATTCTTCACAGTTGGAAAGAAATGAGTAAAGCTGTTATCTCAGAAATTCAGCTTTCAGATATGACAAGCACAAGTTGTTATGTAAGTGATTTCACTTGGTCTAGATAACCCAGGGATAAAACTTACAAGTATAGAAGCAGAGTAACTCTTCTAATGAAAACTTAAGATTTCAAGAGGATCCCAAAGATAGAAACTGTCAAATTCCTCAGGGAAAAACCTCTTAACTGAGGGAAAAATCCTGCCGATCTTTAAGAGCACTTAATCTGTGGTGTACTGCCCTTAGTGCCTTGGCAAACCACGTCTTTGATTTATCCCCGGATTTTCCATGCTTAGGAAAAATTGTCTTTGTTATACTTTGAATTTCAGCCCAAATGAGTGTATTTCATGTCCAAGAATACCATGTGTCAACATTTTATCCTGCAAAAGAAGGTAATTTCATCATTCAGCAAGATGTGGTGCCTGAGAAGCTTCTTCCTCTAATAGCTATTGAAATTTTTCTGTAGCGTGTATCAGAAAGAGGATTCCTCGTTGTTACGTGGTACATGTCAAAGCACTTCTCAGACAGAATGATTTTAAACTGCTGAAAATAGCTAGGAATTACTATCAGTCAAGAGCAATTTCTTGGGTTAGACTAGCATGGAGGTGTATTTTACTTGCAGTAGTGAGAAGCTGGGGAAAGGTATTTCTGCTAAGGTCAATGGTCTGGAGCTGTGCACAAAGGCTCCAGAGCCAAGGACAATCAGCAGAGCAGCAAAGCGGCGTCCAAACTGCTGCCAACATACAAAGACAAGAGCTTGTTACAACGGCTTTACGTCTGAACTGTGCATCAGCTGGAGGGTCAGTGCAGTGCTGTCTGTGAACTCATGCTCGTAGCAACCACTTGCTGAGGGAGACCAAAGGTAAGGCTGTGACAGCCCAGCTCAGGAGGCTGCTTGTCTGACAACTGCTGAAGCGCCTTAGCTCCTGAGAACTGAAGTTCAGACCCCGTAGATGTGAAATCTTTTTAGCATAATGTCTAGAACACAGATTCTTTGAGTAAATGTTAACTAGATGCTTAAATAATCCTGCTAGTCGGGAATATTCTTACAAATTCCTGCTCCCATCCCGAACTAGTTATAGTAAAGTTAAAAAACCCAACCAACCAAACCCCTGAAACTTGTAGCAAGAGAATTCTTTAGATTCTCAGCGCAAAATCTGACCCAGACCTGAGGGAGATGAAGTGCTAGAACAGCCTTTGGTTCACCACCAGCACACACAAACATCTGAGAAGCAGAGCAGAAAGGACCTGTCTGTACCTTATTGCTGCTGCTCTGTGGCATAAGTAGAAGATCAAGTTTTCAGGTTGGCTGTCTCGCTCTGGCACTGAAATGTCCCAGCAAGCTCTGTAGAATTGCAAAATGTTAATTCATACTAGTTTTGGTTGGGGGTTTGTTTTGGGTTTTTCTGGTCACACAATACGGTAATCAGGAAGAACAAATAAGCAACGTAAAGGGTGAAAGTGTCTTATCAGAATCCTGTCCAATATAAATCACTTTGAAAAGTAATTTCTTTGGCAGGTTATAATCTGCAGTGATTTAATGAAGTAGTATCTAGTTCTTTTAGATTGTCAACAGTCAGAAATCATTCCAGGCTCCCAGTGCCACATGCTATAGCTGTTGATTTAGAGCAGACCATCTGGACTGACAGCTTGTAAACCAGCCCAAGAGAAGGAAAATGACAAGCTGAAATATTTGTAAATTGCTTGGCAATTTTGCACATAGACATAAAATTCCAAAGCAGGGTATGGTTTGTGGCTATCACTCTATTATAATATGGCCAGAATTCAGTAAACAGAGATGTTTCCTGGCTTCCAACATGCCATTCACAGGGCAAACTGATCACAAGTTTTAGCAGAGGAACTGGCAGTGCCAGCTTAGCCATGCTGTGACTTCTCGCCCTGCAGAATCTCTGCTGTGAGAAGTTACAAGAGATCTGTGAATTCACAGCTATTTAAAAGAAGTCACCATGGTTTTGGGGAGGAAAACCAAAAGCAGCAGCACACTCAGTGCATTTCTAGCATAAGACAGCCCCCCCCCTGCTTTGAGTTTGAGGTTTTTTTTCCCTGTCTGTAGAGGCTTAATTTTTGGTAATGAAGCTTTTGAGAATAATTTTGATGATAATGAGGATGAATGGAATTCACGTGGGTACATGTTGATGTTTGAGGTGTACTGTGTTTTCTCAGGTTCATTCTGTTGATAGTTCTGGCTACAGGCTGGGACATTAAGTGCTTGTTGGCCACTTCAGCAGCCTCTGTGTGTCCTTGGCCCCATGCAGGGGTCTCTGGTCATCATTTTTCTGTTTCAGAGACAGAATAAGAGGATTTAATTTGTTGCATCCCACCCACCACCAATTTTTACATAACCTCATCCAGCATTACAAGGCGACTGCTCCTTTTCCATCTTGAGTGGGCTCTGTGCTGCTGCTGGGACCAATGCGGTGTCTCAGATGCTATGAGTCACTCCTATTGATTCAGATAGAGGGAATAATTAGCTGGTATTTCACAACAATTTGGCTTTGACTTTCTTCTGACCTGACTTACCACTGAGCTGCACTTTGATAATTAAATTCCAATCAGCTGTGTACATTGCTTGAAATACAGCTGGGTTTACTTACAGTACTTCCAAAATCTTGTTTTCTATACTTATCTTAAAAGAGAATACAACTGTGTGATTTTGCTGTAGGAGTTGTACGTGCCCATCATTTTCAAAGGAAGCTCAGAATAGTTATAATTGTAATGTAGAGATGCAAGGGAGGGGGCGTGGGGACCAAACACCAAGAGCAAATGTTGCTGAGATGGCAGCACGGGTAGCCTCAAAGCCACCTAAGCACGTCTGATCTGTTTGCAGAGCCAAAACCACGCTGCGTTTGAAGTTTAAAGTATGCAAAGAATTGAGGAAACACATGGAGCTGCTTCCAAAAACGGGTTACATTCAAGCTCAGTCATCCTTCAGTGTGCAGCTGAAGTTTCTGCCCAGGTAACCTAACAGTGTTAATATTTTCATTCTTTAAGACAACGTCTGCAGAAAGCTGTTGGTGGAAAACCTGAGCAGGTCAAAGTTTTCTTCCCTCTCACTGTAGCAGGCTGGCCTGCACACTGCGGGTGTCTGTGCAGTCCTTGTCCCCCCCTCCATCCCTCTTAAAAGTTGCCAGATGCCCAAGGAGGAAATGAACTTGGATCTGGTACCTGGGAGGAAACGCTGTTCCTGTGGTGACAGCAGCAGTGTGAAAACCTGAGCGGTCGCGTTCCTGGGAGGCTGCTCCCCGTCCTGTGGGGAAGCGGCTCTTACACAGAGAGCTTCTGTAGGCAGGTGGCTACTTCACGGATCACTGACTAAATCATTTCTGGACAAGAACTCCTGTGCTAAATCAAGTAAGTGGTTGGACTTGCTGTTCATATCTCTCCTAACCAAGTACATTTTTCTCCAGAATATGAACGTACTGATTTTGAATTTCACGTGGCATTTTACCTACTATCTTCTAAGATGCTAAAAGCCTTATCCCAGCAAGTTTCTCTTCATTTCATGATACCTCTACATATGCAAACATAACGCAGTTATAGGAAACTAAGAATTCCATCTTTTAAAAATCTAAATACAGGAGCTCCTGTTGACCATTGTTGACTTCTTTTTCCTCATCAATGCCATCCTAAAGAATTTAGCAGGACATTTCTTTTCAAATATAAATTAAGTAGATCTTAGTTCTGGTTTACAACCAAATATTTTACTGGCTTTTGTGCTAATTACTGTTATTAATGTTATTTTTTATATAGGTTGTCTAGTCCCACTGACATATCTGTGTATATTTGGGTTTGCACTGATGTGCTCAGCATCTCTGGGTTCTCAATGGAGAGTCTATTCACTGATTTTGAATTTTTCACCGGGTTAGTATTCAAAGAACTAGAAGTATTTACAGTTCTTCCAACAGCTCAAATCCTATCAGATTACAACACCAGTAACCATTACTATGACATTTGTCAGCTCTTAAACTTCAGATGCTGTAAAGCACGGTTACAGTTACTGAGTGGATGGAGGCGTAGCTTGGATTTAGGACATTAATCTTCCTTTGAAAAATGGGGAAGCTTCAGAAAGGAGATTTGATGAGATTAAGGCATTTCTGACACACAAAATAAATATCTGGCTGTTTCAGTATACAGATCAGTTTGAAAAGACCTAACAAACAGGGGGAGTGCGTGTATGACAGAGAAATGTGCGTGCTGCGTGCTGCGAGCTGATGTGAAGTACTGAGCTGGTGACGCATTGCTGTAAATGCCTCCTCGCTGACTTAGTGCCCTAAGCTTGGTTTTCCCAGAAGAAAGAACAACTGTATTAAGAGTAACACACAAGTAAAGAGAGACACTCCTGGAGTGACACGAAGTGAACAGGTAGATGAGTGAAGGCTTGGGAACTTATTCTGTGTGCGCTGAAATGCTTGGCCAGAGGTGACGATACTCAATGTTCTGGGTGTTTGCAGCAGACATTTTCTGTTTATTTGAAGGCAAGTTCTCTAATATGCTGACTTTCAGAATTCCCAAATACCACATCTTTTAGCTTTTCTGCATTTGGAACTAGTCCTGCAGATGCTGACAGTCTAAATCTGATTTGTCTTTTATGCTTCTCTTTAATTGCTTTTAAGCATGAAGATGCTATTTTCAGAGAACTATCTGAAGGATTTCAGTATATTTTCCCCAAGGAATAACAGCTAATTTAGAGTCCAGCGCTGTGTATGTACAGTTGCATTTACTTGTTTCCCTTTGGATTATGTTGTAACACATGAATTTCTTCTGCTGTTCTAATTTCCTGTGGCAAAGTGGAAGCTGATACTTTATTCCTACCTTGTATTTAACTCCAGTTCCTATTTTAAACGAGTTAACCATACCTTTGCAGATCACCTTCCACAGTCCCCTTTCAGACTTGCAAAATAACAGCCAGCAAGGTTGCAGATCACCACGGTGTCCGAGTGGGTGCTGTTTATCCTTTAACAATACATTAAAAACTTGCGTGGAGTTCCAGGAGTGGTAGTAGGAACATCACCACTGTGGAGCCCTAAGAACAGGAAGCAAATCCACGCTGCTGCAAGACACTAGAAACAGCCCAGCAGAGCTAAAAATGCAAAAGCTTTGGTATTGTCTTGGCCTGAAGCTCTGAAATTATGGTAGTAAGATGCTTCCGTACAGAAACCCCGCATATTCGTTATAAGTTGCTAAACTGGTGTATAATCAGGCACTGCTGGTCTCCAGGTTTGTTCTCTTTCTTTGTCTGTGATACAATTGGATCTGCCTCAGACTGGCTGGCAATTAATGAACAGCAGAGGCAAAAGGAAATGATGCCCAACATTGGGTTGGTTCTGTGCTGTGGCTGCAGCAAGGAAGCAGAAAGCTTATATTGATTATAACACTTTGTTTTTCAGAATTTTAAATGACTGGATGGCATTTTAGGAAAGGATAAATGGATGCAGACCTCTGCGAGTAACTCCCTTAGACTCCTGTGTGTCCAACATCCTGTCTTTAAAAAATACAAAATCCAACATTAACATACAAGGTGTATTATTCTAACATCATCGCTACATAATTATAATGATAATCCTAATATTTCTGATCTGACTGCATCTTTTTCTTGGTCAGAAGGTGGAATGTCATTGGTCACCAGTTCTTGATTCGTATTTTCTTCCATCATTTTCCCTAATACTTGCTTATATCTTGCATGCAGGATTTTAGGAAGACTTGACTTCAGTGGAGCGTTGCAGTTGATGCTTAACCAGTTCTAGATGTGAATACTCCTATTTGAGCACAAAGGCTGTGTTAAGGTTAAAAGCTGTGAACAATAAAAACTTTAGACCTTACCTAACAGTTTTGTGGGGTTCTTGATTCAGAAATACATCTATTAAAAGTTTATTCTTCCCTTTAGCCAGAAAATAGTCAAAGTATTTTTATGGAACTGAATGTACTTTTTCGTTTTTAGGCAATCTCTTCGTGAAGATGCAAGGAGCTATTTTAATGAAGAGACGAGGGTCCTGGAAGTTCCCGTGTCAGTACTGATTGTGGATAAGGTTTGTGGTTTTCATTATGCTGGGTATCAGACTGACAACAGATGTAAATGACTTTAGGGAATGTTCACTTAATGATACCTAATCTCAGGTTGGCTCTTTACTGGTTGAAGTCCTATGATAATGGTAAAGGTTGCTTGAAGTGATAATACAGATTTGATAGTTTCTTCTTGTCAACACGTTTACAATACAGAAAATGAGATCCTTTCTAGCAGTTTATTTTGTGCGTTATCAGAGCTATCAGATCCCCTAGCACAACCTCTTTATTCTGATCTGTACTCCAGATACAGCGTATTTTGAAGAGTTTACACTTCCTGGAGGTGCAGGTGTGATTCCATTCTAGCATATGCAATTTGAGATACAGGTGATTTTAACTTTTTTTAGATTGTGCTTATCAGAGAGGAATTTCCTATTGCTTTTATTTTGAGAACAAGGAGGCTGAAGTTCAAGAGATCTTTATGTATGTTATTGTCAAGGAGTAGAGCAGAATAATCGCAGTTATCTTTTTGGATTACATTTCACTTAAACCCCTCTTTACAGTGCTACAGATGGAGGGCTTTATCCTGTGCTCTTGCATTTATTTCAGGCTAAAAAAGTTAATTTTACTGTCCATGCGATTGTTACTACTTCTGATTTGGAAATCAGTCCAGCACAGATCAATTTTGGATACTGCACCATCTATGAAGCTGTGCAGGCAAATGTCGTGCTAACAAACAAATCCATCTTGCCACAAGAGTTTGGATTTGTGGGGCTTCCAGAGGTATGTAGTTATCCCCCACACTTCTCTTCTTCTATCAAAATAGATTTAATTATTATGGAAACATGTTTCAACGTGAGGGTAAATGAGTCATGACTGTTTCTTGCAAACCCATGGTAATAATCGTGCCTGCAACGCTGTGGAAACACAGATTAGTTCTGGTACTGGTTTGGGTAAATTTGCAAGCAGTGTGAACATCCTCAAGGAGATTTTACTGTTCTCACCTACATAACATTAATAGAATACCTATTTTTTACACCAGGAAATCTATTAACAGAAGACCTGGTGCACTTTCTTTTGAACTCCCAGGTCACAGTACTAAATAAAACAGTCCAGGGATGTCGCTTTGGCCTTGAGGCTGGGGAATATCACACAGTTTGCATCCAAATGCCTAAACACGTTGTCTTTAGATCAGGGTGGCCGTGTCCAAACTTCTTATTGGAAATCATCCCCTGAACCATGCTGAGGTATTTTTTGGCTGACTGGGAGTTGATGTGGAAGCTAAATTAACTGCAGGAGCTGCCAGTTTCGTGTGGGCTAGGTCTACTGAATTTTATTTTTATTTTCCAAAAGTTAGCTGTTCAAGCTTCATAATAGCATGATGATCACAGTGTGACATGATTTGGCATATTGGAACCAGAGCTAGAGGAACCTGACATTTCATAAGGCATTCTCTCTTTCTGTGCTGTTTTAGGGATTAAAATCAAGGAGTTAGCTAAAAGAAACTGGAATCTTCAGCTTCATTTAAAGTTCTACTTCACAGCATGCACTTCATGATTAGCTTAAAATGTGGTGGGGAGACATTCTTTAATCATCATCAACTCATAAAAACAAACCAATGTACTTTTGAAGATATTAAGCTGATACTTGTCACTGTGGTGTCTGTGCATCATACAGGAATCAGCTCTTCAAAGATACAGAGACTTTTACCATATTTCATTCAGTTGTCTATGAAGAGTAAATAAACATAATTAGAGAAAGCTGATTACCATAAACAATAAGAAGCTGGGGAAGAGATTCGACTGAAGTCTGAGTTAATGGGTTTAATGCCCTTCAGGTCACTTTGAGATGAAAAAAAATGCCCGTCAGTCAGGTGCTGGTCATTAACTCGCATGAAAGCTGCTCCCTGGAAGGTTTCTGTTTTCCTGACGTTTTTACATTTAGTAACAAATTTTAGCTTGCGGGTAATGTCATATTTTAATGTATTTAATAATCTGATAACTTAACTAATAATTTATTATTTTCATAACAATAATTTCTTATCCTGCCATTTTGAAGTTTGTTGAAGTTCAACCCAATGACGGACTTGGAATTCTTCTTCCTCTCGAAAGCCTGACTTTGGACATAATCTTTAAAGCTAACAAGGCGAAAGAGTACAGCTTTGAGCTAACCTGCAAGTCAGAGATTAATAGGTATGTTAAGAGACTGATTGAGTAGCAGGTAATCTAGAAGTCTGAGTCACACTGGATTTCCACTGTTAAGCTAGTTCAGAAATTAAATCCCTGCCCACTTTGAAGAGGTAAGGCTGGGATAAAAATGCGAGGCAGGTAGGAAACCTCCAGCTGACAAGAGTGGCTCAATGCCTTCATTTCCATGTCTGTCTTTGCTGACATGGCTTTTACCATCTCACCTGAAACGTATCCTTGTCACATATCCAAGCTGCAAGTTTGCCCTAGGTTGTCTTAACTTGCAATGTTCTGCTTGCTTTTTCAGCACAATTACTGAAGGATTTTTCTTTTAATGCTTCATACATTAAAGCTAATGCTACTAAAATAATTATGGCATAAACTTTGATTTGACTGCATACATTTTCAGAAGTTCACAGAGGAAGAATTCAAGTAGGGACTCTAGCCAATTGTGCATTAAAAATAGATAGTATTATTGTTCATCTTTAGGCAAAATTCCCATTGCAAGCTTGAAATTCTGCTTAAATAGGGACTACAGGATTAGTTCCCTATTTTCCAGGCTGATTAAGAGACTATTTTATGCTGAGACAATTTATCACGTGTTTATTTTTAGACAATTCAAGCTGTCATGCAAAGCAGTTGGAGTCCACCCACCTCTTGAATTGTCACATTCCTTAGTTCGGTTTGCTGCAACGGCTTTAAATGGTACGTCTACAGCAGCACTGTATGTGCTGAATTCCCACGTGAGCGTCAACCCCTTTACTCACGCCGTCCCAAGGATTGGCACCGGGGAAGGTGCCCCTGTTGGACCCACGTCGTTTGAATTCTGTGTGCCAGAAGGCTGTCCAGTGGCAATTACACCTTCTGTTGGAACTGTGTTGCCTGGGAAGGTAAATTCACTTTAAACGTCAAGTGTTCTGCCAAATATTTTGATCATCTACATCCCTACAAGTGCTGTGAGTTGTTAAGGAAGCTCAAAACATAAATTATTATTAGAATAGCTGAAATACTTCGTCTTGTTTGAAATAATGTTTTAAGTCAGACATGAGTGGTTAACAACTAAATCTGGCTAATGCTTTAAGGGAGTTTCACCCTGAATGTTTTCTCCCCAGTGCTGCCATTCTGATTTATTTGAAGAATGTTTAAATATCAAAAATACCGGTTTTGTAAAACCAGCCCACAGTAACAGTGGACTTCCAAAAAAGCTGCAAGTGACCTTAGGGTCATCTTATTCGCTTGGAAAACCCCTGTGTTTTAGTTGTTGTTTTTTTGCTGTCATGTATCTGGTCCTATTGAGCTTTGTAGGTGTAACACATGTATGAGGGCTGAATTTTGCCAACCCTTCTTGTGAATGCTCTCGCACTCCCAGAAAAGCTTGATTCGAGTGTCCTTCAGACCAACATTGTCAGATCAGCTAATCAGAGAAGAGGCAGCTCGGAGGCTTTGCAGAGCAGCTGCGACAGGGGCAGAAAGACAAGTAAGGAATGCTAAGAACTAGCACATGCTGTCAGTCTTCCAGATATTTGTTTCTCTGGATGGTATTTTTATCATAAAATTATTTGCATATTAATGAAGCCCAGACTCATGATCCATGTTAAGACCTGCCTGTAAAGGACAAGAGTATGACTGTACTGTTGTACTTAATGCCTGCATTTAATGTATGTCTGCTCACTGAGCACTAATTTAATTTCATGGTAACAATTTAAAAAGCATTCATAGAGGATTTTCTTGCAAGTGCTAACTGTAAGTGCTCTTTAAAATAGTTTCTAGACTTCTTGCAGATTTACAGCATACATGGACCTTACAGGCAATGCTGTGGGTCAGTTAATTTAAGTGAGCACCTGTAGTTGTCTTTAACTGACATAAATAGGTAAAGTTCCCATGAGAGATACAATCTTTCACTCCTGTGCTCAAATAGGGGAGCTCTTTTTTTTTAAGATGGGGTAAAATATGTCCATTTCAATTTAATTTTACATAATTAGAAATGCACATAGTAACCACTGTGTCTGTGGCTTGTTACCATAATCCTACTGCTGTAACCTTGTTTCATGCACTCTATCACCTCTTAGGTTCTGTATCCTTAAGCCAGAGACCTTGTATTTGTAAATGGATTGGATTTCTAGAGATGCACCTCAGCGTATTTGCTGATATCTCGCTCTGTGTATTTGCAGTCAAAGAAGAAAGATGGAAAGAGAGAGGAGAAGAAATCGAGCATTTCCAGACAGCAGTCTTTCAGAGAGCTTGGAAAGGATGAAGGCAGTGAACACCTGACTTCTCAAAATAGTTCTGAACAACCAAAATCCAAAGATGTAAAGCCTGGGTAAGTCAGCAAAAGCATCTTGTACTACATAGACAACATTCTCTTTAAGTAGTTTAATGAATCTACTAAAACCTATAGGTAGACAAGGAAGCAAACAGTAGAGAAGAAATAGCTTTAGCTGTCGCAAAGGCTGTTTCCAAAATTAGTACTGCTTTTAAGCCGCGCAGCTGTACCCTCTCATGTAAGGCAAAGAATCCCTTTATGCATCAGAGGGATTGAAGACTTCAAAGAATATATCAGAAAGCATGAGACGTGGCTGTATGGGTAAATTTGGCTGAACTAACAAGGGTTTTATTTTAAAGGGCAACTAGAAAGCTGAACTTAATTACCAAAAGAAACTGCTACATCCTACCACTTGGTAGGATGGGTCCCTTACTGTGCATCCAGACAGTCACTTAGTTTCACTGTTATGTTCAATTTTGAATGTATGACTAATAAATGATAAACACAAATAGCTCAGTAGATACCTATTTGACTTTTTTTCTTACTCTCTCACTCACTGAGATGATTTTTATCCCTGGATTTTCTAGTTCTGATGCTTATATGGCAGCCCAGGCTTTCCTGATGAGGAATTTCAGTGGGAAGTTTGAAAAATACATGGTACCATGCTTTGTTGCAAGTGGACCTATCGATGAAAAGACAGGCTCTGAAAACCTAAGCTGCAGGTATTTGCAGTTAGATATGTACAATTCATGGTAGTTCAGAAATTGGAGGGGAAATGGTGGGCATGTTAATTTATTCATCTGGGGGGAAAAAATTGTTTTCCTGATCTTAATTACTTCATAGGTCAGTGGTAGAAACTCAGGCTTACAACCCATTAGTTTAAACCAGAGGCAGCTCATGTTTCTGCTTAGGCATACACAAAACAGTCAGCCACCTCTGTTTTGTAATGCTGATTTAATCATGTCCTGTGATAGGAACAGAGTAAGAGATTTTTGCCAATAGAGGGTTTTTTCCTGTGTGATCCAAGAAAAAAATATCTTTGTACTTCTTTCTGTAGCCCTTACAACACCTTGTATTTGGAGTTGCACTGTCCAGCTGTAGCACCATCAGTTGTGGTCACTTCAGATAATGGAAAAAACAGAGTGGATTTTGGTGATGTTGCAGTAGGTATGAAATCTGCGTTCAAGTTTTGAACTTCTTCTGTCTGATGTTAATTTTTTTCTGAGCATAGTTTTGCATTTTCTTTTACAATTAGATACGTACAATTACTTCATTTTCAAAAGTCAATGTAGAAATGAGTCCTTTAATAGGTACTTAGGTGGAGAATTAGATCTGGCCAGTTGAGGTGTGTGAAAAGCAGACTTGATCCTGACACATGGAACTGGGAGCTCTACAAGTGACTGTCCAAATTTGCACGTATTTTGGTGAGCTTTGACTAATGTGTTAGCCATAGAAATGGAATGAATGTTTGACCCAGGTAAAAGCATGAGTGAAAAGGAGGAATGGTAGTGCATGAGTGAGCATCGTCACTGTTTGAATGTTTTCACTCCTGTCAGGCCACAGAGTGATGAAGCGAATTACAATACAAAATATATCCCTGGAGAAGCTGGAAGTATCCTTGTTATACATGTAAGGTAATCTGCCATTCAGCTTCTGTTTAATTAGTCTTTATCTGTAGGAACTATATGACACTAAAGCAAGGAGGAGGTAGCAGATCTCGGATTTAATGCACATCTTTCAGAGTGAGGCAGGAGGTGATGTGAAGAATATATTGGACAGGCCTAGGTGACCTACTGGGAAGCTAATTCCATTCCACCGGTTTAACTGGAAATAATTCTGCACAGAGCCAAACTGGAGAAGCACTCCACCACTTTCCAAAGAACATAAGGTACTGATGACAAAGGTGGTTTCAGTACGTGTATGTGGGAAACAGAACCAACAACTCAGTTTTTGCACAATGCTTCTCTGAATTTGTGAACACCTTGCAAAAAGAGGCTACTCTACTGGTTTGTCTGGGTTAAGCTGTGTGGGATAATATAGGAGAAGGTGTGTCCCAGATCTCAGGGTGTTAACGACCCATTCCAGGCAAAATCTGGAAATGAAGTTACGTGGATACCTTATTAACTGGAAAAGGATCTTGCAGCTATTTGAATTCTGTGGGGGGAAAAAAATAGGATTAGTTCTTTTCTCTTAGTTACTGGTCTCTGAAAAAGCTTGTGGGTGGTTGGTTTATACATCTTTGGTCTGAACAATATTTAGAATCTCTTCCTGTATTTTTTCCTATGGTCTTTGTTTATAAACTTTTTTCCTTGAGATGCACTGTTTTAGCTGGGATTCTCAGTTCTGAATCCTCATGGCCCCTTCCTGTTGGGCAGAGCAGCTGGAATGCTTGAGCCAGGAGAAAATAAACCCCTCGTCATCTCTTTTTGTCCAAATGAGAATAAAATGGTGAGTAAGAGAGATAACAGTAATGGGGGAAAAAGAGAGAGACAGATGTAATGGGCTCTGTAATACACACAAATACTGCCCTGAATGAGGCTGTATAATAGTAAAAACTTTGTTGCCAGTGCATAGCCCAACATTTGGATCTTTGCCTGTGCACTAAATCCAGAAGTTGGGTAGTAATGGGCCATTTGTGGGAGGGGGTCAGTTGGAGGGATGGGGAATGTTTACCTTCAGCAAATGGGCTAATGCAGACGCTCTCTTGGCAGTATTTTGAAATGCTGGACATCCAGACAGCAAAAACCAACCTCACCCTAAACATCACTGGTCATGGGGTGATACCATCAACTGTGTGCTCTGTGGGAGAAGTACTCGATATGGGCTATGTCGTAGCCAGGGAGAAGGTGACTTCCACATTCAAGGTAAATCTCTCTATGCTGAACCAGAAAGCACATCAGCAATTTTTGGAAGGAGGAAGAGAAGTTGTGTAGTTCCTATTCTGGCAGAACATCAGGCTGAGTGGCAAACTGCAGATAACAGAGCTTTAAAAGCACATCTGGCAGAGTGATTTGATACTGAGACGGTTTCAGACTGAAGGTAACAAAGCTGTGCAGGGAGGATCTTATGAGCTGCTTCTGTCCTGCCTGCAGCCTATTAGAAAAACCCCAAAAGTGAGGGGAAAAATAAAAAAGAGATCCACTACCTTCTGTAAAAGAAAGAAATGGCCTGTGTGGTCTCCTCTGTAGATCTATCCAGTGTGCAGAGAGATACAGTCAGAAATGGCTTTGCTTTTACCAGTGTTAGAAATATTTGCCCTCTTTTATTCTGTCCATTACTGCTATCACACTTGAGGCTGCTCTGCGGCCACACAAAGCAGTGACCCAGGTACATGGGTGAAATGCAAAACTGGTCCTATAAAGAGCACATCAGGGTTTGCCATGGTACAGCAAACTCCCAGAGACTCAAACAGGCCAAGATCTAGGCATATATTTCTCCTCTCAGATTTTGTCGAAGTGTGTCAGTACCAAAGTGTATTACTTGCTGCAAGACTCTTAACAGGAGCCTGGTTCCTGGTGTGGGGCAGGGGTTGACATGACATGTTATGGTTGACAATAACACATGCTTTTGGAGGCATCCGGGTACACAGTAGTGCATTAATGCAGCAAAATAAAAGCAGCCAGTTCACAAAATGTGGATCCTACAGGCTTGAGAATCAGTTTCCTTAATGGAAATGCAGTTGTATAAATTAATTTCCCCAGATACAGAACACTTCCACACTGACCCTGCAATACTCTATACAACTGGAGTCGCTTTCAGCAACAAGAGACAGAGATCAGCAGCGACTTCCGTCCTTCATCACGTCCCCTTTGCAGAGAACAGAGATTGTTGGTAAGCTTGTTTTTTTCTTTTATCTTTTTCTAATGTTAAAGACTCATGAAGTATAAAGCACCATTACTCTGTCCTGTTAGATCTACACAACTGTCAAAACCTGGGGTGTCACATCATTGAAATTAAAGACATAATTTTGCTTCCCCAGTAGGACCTGTACTAATTCTTTCAGTATGGGAATCTGTACATTTATGTAGCCTGAGCAAATATCCACAAGGGAGGAGATACTAGTGTTTGAATCTAAATAAACCCTCACAGTAACTGCATGTTAAAGATTATACTTATGGAAGTCCATCTCTGTAAAAACACTTGTTAGAATGTCGGGTCTGGTGATGCTTCTGCAGTTTCTCTAGAGATGAATGCATTAAACTGATAGATGGATTTATCTGGTGTTCCTAACACCCTGTTTTGCTGCAAAACCATGTACCAGGTTGTACTTATTTGCTTATCCATCAAAAATTAAATGGGTTTAAAATATATGAAGTAGTAAAGTGGAGCTGTCTTTCTTCCTTATTTGTATCCTCATTTTTATTTACCAGGAACACAGAACTACAGTGGCCTAAGTGTGTTCAGCGTCTTTCCGACAGAAGGAGAAATTGTTGCTGGGAACAGTCAGGATTTTAGTGTCACTTTCAGTCCTGATCATGAAAGTCTGTACTATTCTGACTGTCTCAAGGTTGTGCTCTTTGGCAAGGTGAGACAATCAAGAGACCTGGATTATGAAATCTTAGTCTAAATATGACCTACAGCATGGGTCTTAGTAGGAGTTTCAAATCATTACATCTAGTGGACAGCATTTGTAGGCTGAAATATGATCTTTATTAGATTAACTGATGTAGGTGGGAGGTGGCAGGTTTGGGGCTCACTGACTTTTTTTTTCACACTTTAAATATTCAGTTATTAATTCATAACAATAGTGACTTGGGATTGAGTCCTGTCTTCTGTGTAGCTGTCTGTACCATGGAAATGAGAGCTGCTGAGCACAACTCCCAGGGTGTTCTCTGCAAGTAACATTTAATGGAGCTTTGAGCAAACTGCCAGGTGCACCGAGGACCAGGAAGCTGCTTCTGCAGTCGCTCAGCATGAGGAAGGAGGTTTTGATCTCTAGAGCAGCAGTTGAGCTTAGAAGGAGCCCAGGTCAGGATATGAAGGCTGGCGGCATAGCAGGTGACTTTATGCCCTGTGCCAAAAGAGTCTGACCAAAAGTTAATGAAGAGTGCCAACTAATGACCATCGGCAGGCACTGCAAATACAGAGCAGAAAGTGGTAGCGAGCAAAGTACTGTTTCTCTCCTTGCAAGTTTTGTATTTCCAGATTATCTTTGGAATTGCAGTTAAGAATGCGAATCAGGATAAGCTGAAGGTGAATGGAGACTGGTCCTAGTTCACAGACTTCAGCCAAGTTTGGCAGCAGACAAGTTTTGCCTTTTAGAGGCTTTAGTATAAACGGTTTGTCCAGTCCCCTCCTGAGGCACACTGCCCAAGCATGAAAAGTTGTTTAAAACACAAGTGCCTGGACAAGACCAGGGGAGGATGCAAGACTCTTGCATTAGAGTACAAGGCCTCTTGGTATTTATGTAGGCAGGAGATGTAATAATTTCCATGCAGCTGATGCTGTTGTATTCCAGTCACAGCATTCCTCAGGCTGTAACCTGCATTAGAAGCATTTTTGTCTTGTCTAGAAAATAGCCCACGTGATCCACCTAAAGGGTGCAGCGAGAGATCACCCAATGTTTGTGGAAGGGGGAGTTCCTCTAGATGTGCCCGTTGAGTCCCTGGCTGTAACGTCACCTACACCATCGCAGAGAGCGCTGGAAGGAGGTAATGTTCTACCACGTACGCCTCATTACAGAACAGTGAGTGATAAGACATGGGTGTGTTTCTCATCCCTTAAGAAAAAGTAAATTAAAGAGAAATTTTCCAGAAACAGAACAAATAAGCATTATGGTATAGCCTATATATTTGTAACACCAAAAAAAACCAAAAAGCAGGGAATTTTCTATTAAGGACAGATTTTTGTCTTAATTCTAGTGCAGTTAATGACAATCTTCTATCTTTGCAACTTGCCTTGCAAAAATGATTGAGTTAACACTGCTACAGAGTATTAAGATGTATTTGCTTTCTGCCACTTCGTCCCTGGCTGTAACGTCACCTACACCATCGCAGAGAGCGCTGGAAGGAGGTAATGTTCTACCACGTACGCCTCATTACAGAACAGTGAGTGATAAGGCATGGGTGTGTTTCTCATCCCTTAAGAAAAAGTAAATTAAAGAGAAATTTTCCAGAAACAGAACAAATAAGCATTATGGTATAGCCTATATATTTGTAACACCAAAAAAATTTCATACATAACAACAGATCCTGGGCTCTCCTGACTGTACTGTTATGAAACAGACACACTTCCAGGGCTTTGAATTTGTCCTTCCTTAATGTCTTTGGACAGTATCTGTGTTCAGAGACAGTACATAAGCAACTCCCAGCTCCTGAGCTATAAAAAAATCTAAGCACATAGCATACACAAGTAGGAATATTGTACACACAATGTATGTGCCATGGGGCTAGAAAACGGGCATGAAACTTGATTACCAATTACAGTTTGCAATTGCAAATTATGCAGAACCTTCTTTTGCTTAATTCTTCACTTACTCTGTAAGAAGGATCTCCTTAGCTATGCCAGCTCATGAATTTGCCACAGCATCACTGTTTTGAACTATCCTGGTGTAATTTATGCTTCTTCCAAACTGATAATCACTTGGTTTTGACTGTCTCATGAGTCTACTTGATTCATATTTGTTTAGAGCTGCAAGAACCAGTGAAGTCCATTCTCCTCATTCTGGAGTACGTCGAGGGAGAGAGTTCCCCGGTGCCAGCAATGACAGAACTGAAAATTGGAGCTATACAATCAACTCAGTTTGCATCTAAGAAGGTGAAGGAAAGAAAAAGTGCAGTTTTATGTCAGACACTGCAAGGAAGCGACAATCGATTTAGCAGTTTGCTTCCCTAATTCTGAAATATGGGAGTTTGAGCACAGAACTGAATCACAGGTCTGATACTGTTATTTTAGGATAGTATTTTGGGACAGCTTGACACAATGTACAAGATGGATCCTTGCAGTTTCAAAGGACATAAGCAATTTGGCAAGCAATAGGCCCACGTACAGCATCTGGGCAGTGCGGCCCTTAATAAGCAGGCACCGTGCTTGAAGGAGCAGAACTGGCTGTGATGAGGGTGTGTTGTGTCTCTCGTAGAACGTGGAGTTCAGTTTTGACAGCCTGCCACTCCTGCAGCAGAAGGGATTCACCGTTCAACCTGCGAAGGGAACGATTGAGCGTGATGAAGTAAAACACATCGGTGTTTCTTGGGTGCCACCTGCTGACTTTCACGTAAGTTACAGTCGCTGCAGTGTTGCTGCTCTGCGTGGCAGCGGTTTTCACCGACTTGTAGGAGCAGTGGAAGAGCTCGACTTGGAGATGTCAGCAGTCCAGGCTGCTTGGACACATTAGAATGACTGAACACATGTAGTTACCAAAGGGAGTGCAGGCTGGTGTACACACTGATATGAGAATAAAAGCAAGGAACAAGAGGTGTGATTTGACCTCATCACAGGCTTGCATTCCTCTGTGTGATAGAAAGAACACGCATGAGTCACTTGCATCTTCCAGAACTTAGAATAACTTCTTACAGGTCACTGCATTATATAGCATCAAAAGGCCAAAATGCTGCTGCTGTTCACTAAAATACACAGCTTCGATCACACTGAAGTGAGCTTTTTAATGCCCCCTGGGCAAGAAAACCTGTAGTCCTGCTGACAGAAAAGTAAGTTTACATGGATCATTCAATGTGGTAGTGTTCTTTTGGCTGTGGGCTGCCTTTCCCTTGGTGTATTCCTGGAAGTCAGTGGGGGCTCTTTGATTTTCCACTTAATAAGTGCTTTATGAACCCTGTTTTCCTGGCTACTTCTGCCTTTTCATATTGCAGAGTCTAGGTATGAGGTCCAAACATCTCTACAGGGCTGTGATTGCCCTTCCTGATTCATTTTATTGGGCATTCATGGAGACTGAAAGAATTTACTCCCCTGCTTTTTGTTGAGAGCTGTGTGTGGGATGGCAGAATGAGTGGCTTGTTCCAAAATTAAAAGATTGCCGCTATCATGTGCAGAAAGAAGGCAGTAGAGTTCCTGGCATGATGCATCAGGTTCACATCGTGCCTCTTGGTAACCACTGGTTGTTACACTGGTTGTTACTCACTCATGGCTAACAGGATCCATTTCGAAGGCAGTAGAGTTCCTGGCATGATGCATCAGGTTCACATCGTGCCTCTTGGTAACCACTGGTTGTTACTCACTCATGGCTAACAGAATCCATTTCCTTCCCAACCCTCACTGCAGTGTACTCTGCTGCTGCTGTGCCCAGCTGTCATGGCTGTAATACGGTGACGATATCTGTAGCACTCTGGAGATAGAAAGCTTAGTCATTGCTACGTCACTTACTGCAGTATGAGCATGGCATGAAAATGGAACAGAGCCAACACAGTGGGAAGAGGGGGAATCTATAGTTGCATCTTAAAACTGATGTAAAATACATAGTTTAGGACATGATCAACTACTCTGGTTCTATGTGCAAAAACAAAAGGTTGGTTTTTATATGTGAATTTCTTTGCAGGCTGATGACCCTCCACTTGTGACAGCCCTCCTGTCCTTAAAAGGTGACATTAAGGAATCTTACCAAATCCTCTTCATGGCAAAAGTTGTCTCCGTATCCTCCCACTGAGTGAGGGGCCCAAGCTAAACGGAAAGGAAGATGGAGGCTTGTATTACTGGGAAACCAGTGGATCTTGGTTGAAACAAGGAAAGAGCTGGAGATTGTTGTAAATACGTGAGATGAGGAGGAGGAAAGCAGGAAGGTGACATGTAAGATTTCTGCTTTCTTCCCCACAAAATTCTATGTGAACTCTATAGAAGAAAGTAATGAGGAGTCAAGTAGATACATCTGCTGTTAATCTGTCTTCCAAAGGTGGGTGTTCCCAGGGAGCCCTATCTTTTATATCTACATGGGTGAGTTTCAAACAATGTATATTTTTTCCCATTTCAGATGCATTTTAATGGTTTGGAAAATCCTTGGGGTTCTCCTTCCTAAGACCAGAATAAAGTTTCTTATTCAAGTCGTCTTCAGATCGTTTGGGCAATCATTTTTACAATACACTATGAAATCTTCTTAATAACCCATGGCCAAGGAGGAAATGATGACCGTAGTGTCCACTGAATCACTGGATACGTACAGTTAGACACTTGCCTTAGACTATGGCTGTCCAGGAACTTTGTATTTCTAAATTTACTTTCCTCTGAATTTTGACTATGAGTAGATTTCTGCCTGTTACTGAGGAAGTTGGAGTGTCCTGTGGGTATAAGTTCTGTCAGGAAGCAGTAGTTAGTTCAGGGAAAAGTACAGAGGCACTTCACTAGGGTGAAGGGACCAAGAAGTTAGCAGAAATCCAGAAACACAGGTGATCTTTTAAATCTTATATCCTGCTCTTTCTTGAATCACAGTACGTCTGTGGCAAAACTCCTTCACTGCTACTCCAAAGGCTTATTGCCATTTGGCCCAGTGTAGCTGTTAACATTGCTTATTTAGATTATGCAGTAAGAAAATAGACTATTTGTAAACATTCCCTAAGGTAAAATGTGTCAAGCTTGTTGGACTGCAGGGAAAAGCAGAAAAGCAATTGTCACAAGAAATATTTCAACTAGTTTCACCCTTTTATAGAGAAAGCTTGTATAACTGATGAAGAGGGGTTCCTTGTTTTTCCCAAGACAGTATGCTTGATCCATTCTGATCTGCTCTTGTTTAATAACAGATCGAGTGACTGTGAAGTTACTTAACTCTTCAGTCTAAAGCACTGCAGATGCTGAAGCAATAACCAGTCACCACGGGAGGGGCAGAGCTGGGAGGGGGGTGGCAGTGCCAGCCAGAGACATCTCTGCCTTCATTCAGTGTTTCTGGTGGCACAGCTGGGCACTCTGAAGCTGAGGACAATGATGTTTGTGTGCTGATTCTCTTGCAGTCCTTGTAGCTCAAAAAGGGAGACTAAATACTGCTATATAAAGTGAAACTGTTGCAAATACTACTGCACAGTTGACAGTTACCTCATGATAGAGAAGTTCTCAGAAAGCAAGGAAGGGCACAGCATGTTGGAGTGGAAGGTTTATTTCAGGCAGTTCATTTGGGGCCATCCATTATGTGAGGATTCTTTGGATTTCACTCCTAGTGAACCAAAAAGTAATGGCTGAGAATACATTTAGAAAGTAATGGCTGAGAATAAGTTAGTCTCCAGACTCTCATAACCATCTAATGTGCTGAAAATGAGTGTAAAATTATCTACTAAGAAATGACAACCCTGTTTTAGGTCAGGTACTGTGAAAAAGTACCCAAAGGATTAGAAAAAGTAAAAAAAAAAACAACCACCAAACAAACAAAACCAAAACCAACCCCCCCCCAAAAACACATAAAGACTGTGACAATGTTCAAAAAAGGCAGAGGTTGCTTGTAAGAATAAGAAGGCAGCTTTGTAAGCCTACAGAAAGAAGGTGAATATGCAAGGACAGGCTGGTCCAACCAGTGGTATTTGCTTGGACACTGAATCTGAAAGACTCGTAACAACTTCGGAGAGCTCTGGGCGTATTCAGCTGTAGAAGTTGGCGAGTCAAGGACACAATTGCCAGGAAACTGTAAACATGCAATCTGATGCTTCTGTTTCCATATTACAGGACTCAAATAGGGGTGAAGCCCTTATTGTGACAATAATGCAGAAAAATGTAACCTCAGAAATATATAATTTTTATTTATATATATATATAAGCTTAGTTTTCTGCTCCTATAACCGCAGTTTTGAACATTATACTTTCAGTTTTGCAACCCTTATGCCTCAGGTTACTGGACACAAACTCTTGCACTTTCAGGTTTGAATCTAAATGCAAATGTGTGCTTTGTGGCTCTGATGCAGTTTGAGTTTAATAGGAAAGCACTTCACATCTGTATATGATCTTTATAATCCTTAAAAGCTTTATCTAGTTCATTTCTAAATCTGAGAGGATGTGAGCACTTTAAGTACTAGTGTCATACTCGTCCTATTAATACATGTTCTGCTTATCCAGTGATTTCAGAGATTGCTTCACACTTACAAATGCAGCTTTTCCTAAATGAGCAATGGTCCCATGACCCTGAGCAGTCCTGTAGGAAAATATTTCAGTCAGTGTGCCACATGCCATTACCGAGCCTTGAAACGTTGGGTTTGTGACTTATGGAGCAAGAGTAGTGAATGTCAGCTGGAGAATGGGCTATCTCACATGGTGTTTCCAAACTCCTGTGTCCAGTGCTGCTCTCAAGGGCATGATTAGCCCC